TTAGTGCTTTTGTCATTTTAGCAAATATTCAGACCCCTCTAGAGCGTTTATTTCAAGAAAGTGCCTCGTCCCAAATCTAGCAACTTTTTTTCTGTGTTAATAGAGACTTTGGCTACGTGTAAGCACAGAACTCTGTCCTCCTGAGCGAGTGGCTCTTAACCCCACCTCCTGCTCTCTCCCACAGTCCTCTGTCATACAGAGCAGGCTGCCCTCCCTAAAGCAGAGATGAAATCTTTCCACTTTGATTGATATCACCTAGTACTTTTTAGGACAGCCAATTGCACTTTTCTTTCTGAGTAGTTGGTAACACTTCTTATTGGGCTTCTACTGGGTATTTATTAGGGAGTTGAAGAATGATAAATCCGGAAATAATGGATAGTCAAACATTTCTAACTATTGGACAATAGCACTGAGAAATGACTTCTTTGCATTACATTTCTCAGATTCATTTTTTTTTTTTTTATATAATAATGTCCACAAGGAGTCCCATAATCTTCAAACTCAAAACAAAGTCCTGGAAGTGTTTCTCCGTTTAAGTCCAAAGTCAAAAGGAAAAATCCAAATGTCAAACCCCCCTCCAAAAAACATAATAAAAAAGAGCGTAACGACCGAAAATCCCCAAAAAGAGAAAGAAAGTCCAGATCTCAGCTGGAGGTTTCTTTCCCTGCGGCGGCATCCTCTGGGTGAAAGCTCTGATCAGGTTTCTAAATGCACGTTCTGCGGCGCTGGGAGGAACTTGTTTGCTGTTTTATCATTCTTCTTTTATTTTTTACTAGTTTTTAACATTCAACTAAACCAAAATCTCCCACTGCACAGATCAGTGTGCGTCTTTCTCTCCGGTCAAGCCGTGCGCCGACGCACACAGCCCTTTTTAATAACCAATTTTCTCCACAACGAAAAATACAGCATTTTAAGGGGGCAGTCCCCTTGGAGAGCAACTCAAGAAAAGAATGTAGTGCATTGAAAATCAAAATGATTGAAGACCATTCAGACACAGTCCAGGCCTTGCTGAAAACGACCCAAACTGTGCAGCTCTCTCACCTTTGGGCTTAAACAACAGACTAACACCTTTAACAAAAGATTAAAACAATGGCTAAAAACTGGGCAACTTTGCATTAAAAATATTAATGTATAAAATGTTTTCTTGATTGCACTACTCTTGTAAATCAGAATTATTCTACACTTTAAAATCTCATTATTATATATTAGTAATTTATAATTGTATACTAAAAGCCTTCTATGTATTGATATAAAACTAGCACTACTGCCGGATACTGAGGCTTCTTACATGTTGATGAGACTATTCCTGGTCTGCTTCTCAGGCTAGCTTCCATGTTTGCATGGAACTGCTCTTCTTCCAACATAAAATACCAAATGCTGTGCTCTGTTTTGGAAACAGGCAAACTCTTATTTCAGTTGTTTAGGGTCTAAGAAATAAAGACTGGCTATAAACTTCACCAAAATAGTTCAGCAGCAAACCGGTTTGATGAAGGAGTAGGAAACTGTTGATAGAGAGGACCTGTATTTTCTAGGTAATTTACCTTCTATCACAACAAATAAGAATGATTTGGTTTAAAAACTCCTTTCAGACAGGCCTGCACTCTAGTCAAGCTGGTGACATTCATCTATATTTCCACCCCTCCATCTGCAAAACAGATAGAAACATGAAGTCCATCCATCCAAAAATCATAGGTAAATTTTTTTTATGATTATTTCTTTCTGATTTGGGATATCATTTAATAAAACATCATAAACCAAATTATGTTTAATTTATTTACCTCTTGGATTTCCATTGTGGAATAGTTTGAACACATTCCAATTGTTGTAAAAAGCCAGACGGACCTAATTCTAAAGTCTTCAAGATAAACTTCGGTTCTCAGAAAAAGAATTCATAGCATTATTTTATTAATGGTTTCCAACTATTTTAATTTGCCTTTTTTTTTTTAATCTATAATCTATTCTTATCTTCAGCTACCACAGTATACATGTCAGATTAAATAATACTACTTATACTTCAGCTATAGTATCAAGGGGCCACTTTATTGGTATCTCTTATGGGCAGATTATACTTTTGCAACCGCACACATCAGATGTCGCTTGCGTCTGGTCGCGAATCAGTTTTCCTGGTATGCTTCTGCACCGTCAGTATGGAATTTCTAGGGACGCACAGAAGTTTCCCGCCAAAGTGCAAAGGGTAGCCTATTGGAGAACTCGCAAGAACTTCAGCGGATGATCATGAGAACTTTGGCGGCGCCAGCGGGAGTGTTTTCCAACACAACACTTACGCGACTGCAAGATATCACGGTCACGGAGATGGATCTAGAGTTGCTAGACATCGAAGAGCAACATGTTTTGTTGATGGAGTTGGCAAAAAGACCGATTAACCTTTTGTCTTAGTTGTCCATCTGCAGTGGTTACTCGGTTTTTAATAACGGCGCGCCCCGGCACAGAATCGAGAAGGACGACCACACAGACAGCCAGAAGGTCACACCAAGGACCAATCACAGCTGCTTTTTGTCTGCATACTTCCGCTTGAGGTCTGAGTGGGTTTACGACCGTCCGACGCATAGTCAGGATTTTTTTGAGGTGCGAGACAACGGTTGCAGAACCTCTGCGCGGGGGGCATGGTCGCACACAGAGACAGATTTGAAGGTTACAGAGGCTATGTGTCAGAAGCATAAATTGGCCTTTATACATTTATACATCTCTTTGCAGGTGATGAAGCAGACTGAAGACATTTTATTGTTATCTCCCTTTTATTTCCTGTTTCTTTCATCTTTTCTCCTTCTTTCTGTTTTTCCTTTCCTGTTCAACTTACATTGTAGTGTCCATATAATCTGTAATACTCCATGCATAATTATAATAAAGCTATTTACATTCATAAATCAAGCGGAACACTATGGCGTTAGCCGTACTGCTCCACTGTTGGCCTCTCTTTTTGGCATCAAGACAATTATTCTAATTGCCACATTGCCAGACTGGACACTGTTAAAAAATATTAATAAATAAATAAAATCTATCATCTATGTATCTATTTAGTTTTCTTTTAATAGTCCTTACACTCAGATGATTGTTTTATTATTAGCACAAAATCAGAACATTCTTGAGCAGAGCATTTAAGGAAACCTGAAGTGAGTGATCTTTTCTGACTTTGCATAAACTAAAACTTATATGTTTTTTCATGTAAGATCAGCAGGTTGTAGATATTAGCATAATAGTTAAAAAAGAACATTGCTTGGTACTTGAAAACATTAACGAAGGGGAGTGGAGGGTGGTATGTGTCAAAATGTCATAGTCTTGCATACAGTTACATTTCCCAAAGCCTGCTAATAATGGTGCTCTTTTTTCAATTTTGGTTTCTTATTGCTAGGAATTACACCGTGATGGGAAACTTAAACAGTATCGTCATATAACACAATACAGTAAACAGTACATGAGAAATATGTGGTGTCCAGATGACAGCGCAAGTTTTTTCCAGTACTCTCACAAGTCAAATTAAATTTAGATCAAACAGAGAACAGTGCTTTAGTTTATTTTTTCATTTTATTTTTTTCCCCCCTTTCTCTTGAAGCTTTTGATGCTCTGTAAAGTTGCTCTAGGGCTCTTGACAGAATGGTGTCTACAAAAATCACCTATTAACACCTGCAGTAATGTATGATCTCTACCAAAGAATTATAGGAAGCAGTCTGTATGACAGATTGTGTGTCCTGGAAAGTGCAGCTCAAGCTCATGTGTTGAATAAGTGGCTGTTTTTAGTTTTAATCTATTTTTGTGTTCTTATTTTGGGATGCTATGTGAAAGCTTGAAACCCAGGACTGGTAGAGATTATTGAGTTGTAAACAAACTGTCACAGTCTCACATTCCTTTTCAACCACAACCTTTTACTTCCAGTGAAATTTAAAGCAATGGAAGGCTAGTTTTTTCTTAAGCTAACAGGATCTGATATATTTATACATGTCTCTGTTCGTGTTAGGATGACTCATCTATCAGTGGGAGTCCTGTGCCTTAATCTCCTTCCAGATTTTTTTCCCTTTAGCTTTTGTTTTTACATGAAGCTTTGTACTCTCCCTGCTCATTCAAATTCTTCCACCTCTGCATTTTTTCATTTCTTATTGATTATTACATAAAAAAACAGTGGTTACTCCTCCCATCCACATTCTTGCCCTTATGTTGTTTTCAGACTAGTATGATGAGAATTTTGGAAAGTCGGGGCCGCCACCAGAGAAGAAATACTGATTGATGAATGAAAGCGTTTTGTTTCCAGGTTTTATCATTTTACATTTAAGTCATATAAAGGCTAATAAAATTTCAATTCAGCCTAAGATCAGGCTAGAGCGGGCTTGTTTCAGTGCCGTTTCTGCTTCAAGGAGGCTGTTATCCTGTTCGTCTCCCCCATCCAGCGCAATTGTCCAACCTCCTGGCGACAGGATAAAGAGAAATACTGTAGATTTCTCTGTAGGAATTCATAAACTCTCTCACTCCTGTCAAAGGTTCACAGTGGGATGTTTATAATACATCAAGGAACGTCTGGGTAAGATGGAGGCCAATGAAATAACAAGCCTAAGTAAATGAATTCCTTCTCTCTTCAAAAGAAAGTTATTTTGCTCTACTGGCTAATCAGTGTAGAATGGAAATGGTTGGATAGAGGATTGGAGATTGTCACATCAGACAATCTTGGGCACCACAGATAAAGTCCCACTGGTCTGTCACAGTAAAGAAAAAATTGTTTAAAAATGTTCTGTTCTAAACTTCTTTTTACAGTAATTTAATGATCTCAGACAAGAGGAGGGCAATAGATGGATAAACAGATAAATGGTGACAGTGGAGAGTTTCACATCAAAGCTTTTAGACAAATCTATTACCGTACTCACAAAGATCGCTGGGTGGTATTTTGGCACAAAAACTTGAAACAGTTTACCTCACTAGAGATTACCGGTAGAAATGTTACTGATGTCCAGTGCATGATGTAAATGCTTTATTTTCTCTATGTGTCTTGGCAGCACTTCGATGACTTCATCTTTGCCTTCTTCGCTATTGAGATGGTGATCAAGATGGTAGCCCTGGGGATTTTTGGCAAGAAATGTTACCTTGGAGACACTTGGAACCGCTTGGACTTCTTCATAGTATTGGCTGGGTGAGTTTACACAGTGACAGAAGAGAAAACTCAGCTGAGTTCATGAGCCTTTTATAAAGTCAAGCTTGTTTTCTTTTATTTAGTTTGTACAGCACTAGTGGCTCATTTTATGGACAGTAGGCTGACAGGAAAGGGGGTATGAGAGGGGGAGAGACATGTGGGAAAGGACCACAGGTCAGATTTGAACCCGGGTCACCTGCAGCAAGGACGAAGGGCTCCGTACATGGGTCATGTGCGCTAAACATTGCGCCACCAAAGCGCGTCAATTAGGTGATCTGATCTTGTTAAACCTAACTTCACTGTTATGAAATCAACTTCTGCTATCATTATGTAGAGCGACATTTTAGGCTACTTGTTTTGTCACTCTAACACGTTAAAATATGTATGTGATTGCTGAAGGTTGAATTTACACACATATTGTGATGTTGGTTTGTAGTTATTTTGACCCACATGCAGAACCATGCAGAGAAGCAGTGAATTTTAACGTTTTAGGTCAAAAGCAACAATAATCAGGAACTTTCTGGTTGGTCTGAGGGGAGAAAACAGTTTGATCAGGAAGGAGTTGGTTGATGACATCTAACAAATAATTGATTAGCTCACTTGAGAGATGAAGGGGAGATAGCATGGATCTGTAGGGGTTTGATTCAGCTTGCAAGAGATGTTATGCTGGAGAGCAGGTAGAAAGGTTAAGAAGACTGAGAACTGCTACACACAGGTAAGACCTTTTCCATGAAGATCGCAGACGAGCTGATGTTCACTGATTGCCTAGAAGAATAACAGAATCTACATTATTAGAAATTCACAATATTTCAACACAAACATATTCCTGGTTTAGGTCTTTAGCTGGAATACCATTGGGGGTGAAGAGACATGATCCTTCATCTCCTTATATACAACTAGCCAGCTTGATTGACAAATGTTCTTAGGTTTGCAGCGTCACAGGTCGGCCCAGCCACCAGCAAAGATCCTCCTTGTGACAGGAAGCTCACTCACACCCGAAAAATAGCAAAATCCCAGAGACCCTAACACATACATAGAACTTTTATTTTCACAAAAACTACACTCTACACACTCTGGCTTGATAAAACACATTGCAGAATTTAGCCGGCTTGTTCAGGTCCGACATTTTCATCATACTTCATCCCCCGCTGAGTTTTAATGCCATCCTTCTGCCGCAAAATCTGTTGTCTATCAGTGGGAACAGGACATGCTTCCTGAAGTGTCCTTCATTAAAACACATAGGATGCTCTTTGTATTGTCTTTTTCTTTTTTTTTTTTTGCTTGCGACATACCTAAATATCAGAGTCAGTAAACATCAGTAAAGTTTTATTGAATACATTCAAAGATATTTGAAAAGTCTTTACTAAGTGAAATTCATTATATAGATTAAGATGGACGTTTTCATTGCTTTACTTCTGTAAATTACGTTTATTTCTGCTTACAGCTAGTAATAACAATATTTCATTTTACATTGACGAATACATTTTTGTTAAAACATATGGGCTTACTGAAAGTGGGACAATGAGTAGCGCTGCTGCCTTGCAGAAAGAAGGTTCATGGTTCGATTACTGGCCTAAGGTCAATCTGCATGGAGTTTGCATGTTCTCCCTGAGCATGCGTGGGTTCTCTCTGGGTACTCCTGCTTTCTCCCACAGTCCAAAAACATGACTGTTAGGTTATTGGGCTTCTCTAAATTCTCCTTAGGTGTGAGTGCGTGCGTGAATGGCTGTGATGGACTGGTGACCTGTCCAGGATGGACCCTGCCATTCGCCAGTAGACAGCTAGAGATAGACACCAGCACCCCTCATGACCCCCCTTGGCATAACCGTGACAGACAATGGATGGATAGATGGAATTGTCTTTGAAGTTTTTTGTTGTTTTTTTGCGGATGGTGAAACTGTCTCTTGTGCTGCTGCTGCATATCAATGTTCTTGCATTTAGCTACAGTAGTCCAGACTGTCAGTTGTTGTGTTAGCATCTTCATATAATCTTCACCGCTACCTCTCAGTCACACTAAACTGCCAGCAAAGGGAAATGTGTTGATATTCCAAGCTTTACTACTATTTTATCCCTCGCTTGCATCTGTCCTTTCAAGATGGCAGCTGTCGTGGCACTTTGTAAACGAGTAACCAGACTTATGTATAAACTAATGCAAAATTCTTTTGCTAATGAAAATGTATCTCATCATTATTGGAGGTAATAATACACCATTAATAACACATATGCAGTCATGGCTTTCAGGCAGTAAAAAAAGAGAAATTGTTACACAATATACCTTTAAATATAAACTTTTCAGGGGAAGAATTGGAGCATGCTCGGCGAGTAGACTCTTCCACCGCAGCTTCTGAAAAATTCTTGGACAGACCTAATCTTATCTCTTCTGAAACTCAAGCTTATTAAAACTCTAATATTGGTCACTAATGCTTACAAAGATATTGTCTTTGCTTACAAAGACAGTAATGAAGGAAAAACTTGAGAACAACTGAAATTGTAGCTCACCACACATATGTCTGAAAGTGCGCATGTGCAGAAAAAGATAGCTAACTGGGGACGAGTACGAAAGACAGCCTTACGTAAACACATCACCAGAATGATCGACAATTAGGAGGACCTCTTATTTTGATGATCCACCCAGAAAAAGAAAATCCTCCACTATACCTTTAAGTCCCTCACAGACTTGGCAAATTGTTTGCAGTCCATGCCCTTTTCTGACACAACTGAGATTTAAATCCAGTTTCTCCCCCTGTCAGGCTCTTTTCTACCAGTCAGTTCTCAGCATGGTTTAGCACGCTTGTAAAATAGACCTCCCATGAGACAAGTGAAGCAGAAAGGTACTTATGGAAAAAGGGCAAATGATGCACAATCAGGGTCTGTGCCAGAAAACCAACTTCTTTCGAATTCACTCGATGTATTCCAACAAGAATAGAGGTCAAATGTTTGTTATAGGGTCTAAAAAGCTGGGTAAATTGAAACGATTAACTTTGTTTTAGATTATATTCAATCCACAGCAGCAGACCTTAAGAGGTGAGGAATAAAAACAAAAGATTTTATTTAAAAAGACAGGCCCCTAATGGGTTTTTATTTGTTGTTTTTCACAGTAAAACTTTAATCATAGCAACTTCTTTATGTCTAAAAAAGGAAATGTGCAAAATTAAGTTGTTCTTCCAACAACCAGAAATCCTTTCTGAAGGACGTTTTTTTCAGCTGAAAGTTTTTTGGTTGACTTATAATAAGTGTGATTAGTAAGTGTGAAAACTCCTCATGGTTAATTTGTAAAAGAAATCTCTGCAAATTTGCGTGCTGGCGTGTGTGTGTGTGTATGTATGTGTGCATGAAACAGAGACAGAACATTACGATGAATTTCAGGAAACAGGTGGATGTTATGAAGGTTTTTTTTTTCGTTTCCAGAGTTGGGAGTTTTTGCCATCTGCATGTGTGTTGGCTTACATCAGCGAGCGTAGGCAGAGTGTATGTCATAATTTGTTTTCATGGCTTATGCTATTTTTGAAGAATCCGGAAAAAAAAAACTTTATTTGCACGGAGGCCCAGCCTCCTCCGACACATCGAGACAAGGGTAGCCAAGGGTAACGGCTGGTCGAATATATATCCTGGCAACAGTTGTTAAGTCCCCAGAGAAGGGCCCTGATGAACTGTTTGTTTCTCTCCAAGACGATAATTGCAGCTAAGCTGCTTTTTCAGCAACTCTAACTCTCTCCTTCTAATCACCTTGCTGTCAGGAGGGATTGATGGAGAGACGGCTGCTTAGATCAGGTGAGATGCACAGAGACAGAGCTGAAATTCTACCTTGTGAATACAACGGATTTGGACTGACTACTTCAAGGCTTTATCCCACCTGCTTCGACATTTTCAGGGTCTTAAGAATAAAGTGCCAAAGAAATGAAGGGTGTTTGTATTCTTGCTATTTATCTTGACACAAAATAAATCTTAGTCATGGATCTTTTGAACAAAAACAGACGTCTCACATTGGTTAAGGCATTAGCATTCTAAGAGGAAATAATTTATCAACTATAATAAACACAGATTTTTTGTGTACATAAACAACCAAACAGAAAAACAAAATCATGCATTTGCTTGATGTTATTACTTTTCTACAAAAGGCAGTAAACCACGCAGTTTAGTTATTGTTCTAAACTTATCAATTTGGCATATGACTGCATAATCGTCATTCTACCTTGAAAAGTATGTCCTACCTTAAAGATTGTACTTATTTTTTTGCATTTTCTTCTGGGTATACAAGACATTTTAAAGTAAGATGATTATAATAAAGGAAACTTCTATCCAAACTGAGCCTGCCCTAACTAAGTGAAAAAAAAGAAATGCTCGCAATTCTAAATTTTGTTTGTGAAACCAATGGAGGCAAAAACTGCTAATTGGACTGAATTTAGAAATTTCTCTTGTGGTCGTACTGACCACTGAAGCTCTTATCACACAAGAATTAATAACCTGATGCAGATTAGTAAGCAACGTTGGGTTAGGGGCCTTGCCCAGGGGCACATCGACACATTACAGGAGAAAATTGAAATTCCAACTTTCAGAAAGACTTTTTTCTCTGATTTAAGCACATTAAATGTGTCTGTGGATGTTTGTAAACAGTTTTCTAAGGTCTAATAAAAACATAACAATAAAGGAAGTGAATTTAGGCATTATGTTTTGACTATTCAGTAACTTCCATTCTGGTTATTTTAGCCATTTTTATGTTGACTTGTTGCTGTGCTTTTGGTCACTGTTGTCCTGCCTTAGTTATGTTCCCATACAGTTAATATGTAATTACCAGAAATTCCCCTTCAGGATTTTCAAGAATCAAGGTGAATTCTTCATTTCACAGATTGTGGCAAATGGCCCGCATCCTGTTGCAGCAAAGCAGCCCCAGTCATCACAGTTTCACCACAAAAGCTGGGCAGAGTACTCAAAACTTATAACAATAACATATTGATTATAAAACCAGGTAGAAAAAATAACTAACCCTAACCAATAGTAAA